TCTCTCTCTCTCTCTCTCTCTCTCTCTCTCTCTCTCTCTCTCTCTATTTATATATATATATTGTATTTCTCTCTCTTTCTTTCTCTAAAATCTCACCAACTCACCCCCTCATTGCATCCTTCTGAAAGAGAAGCAAAGAAGAAGAAAAGGGGCAACATGTCGGTGGAGGACTCGGTTCCGGTAGGGCGCATAAAGACGGTGGTGGTGCTGGTGCAGGAGAACCGCTCCTTTGACCACATGCTCGGCTGGATGAAATCCATCAACCCAGCCATCGATGGCGTCGGCAACGATCGCGAACACTACAATCCCCTCTCCACCGCCGACTCCAACTCCCGCCGTGTCTACTTTGGCGACCAATCCGAGTACGTCGACCCCGACCCCGGCCACTCCATCCAGGCCATCTATGAGCAGGTCTACGGTGTCCCCTTCTCCGCCGGAGCCACCCCCATCACCCCTCCCGGCGTGGTGCACCCACCCATGAACGGCTTCGCGCAGCAGGCGGAGAAGGAGAAGCCGGGGATGTCCTCCACCGTGATGAACGGGTTCAGGCCGGCGGCGGTCCCGGTGTACGAGAGCCTGGTGAGGGAGTTCGCTGTCTGCGACCGGTGGTTCGCGTCGGTTCCGACCTCGACGCAGCCGAACCGGCTCTACGTGCACTCGGCGACGTCTTATGGGCTCACCAGCAACGACACCATGAAGCTTGCGGAAGGCCTGCCGCAGAGGACCATCTTCGACTCGCTCGACGAGGCCGGCTTCTCCTTCGGCATCTACTACCAGTATCCTCCTTCCACTCTCTTCTACAGGTGCGCTACTCTCCCTCAATTCTTCGTTTTCCGATCTTTTACGGAAACAGGTTTGTTTAGATTGCAATTTTTCTCCAATTGAAGTATAGACGTCAAACAAACTTAACAAACCTATCTATTAAGGGTTAGTTATAATAGATTACCTTCTATAATTAGTTATTTTTAGTATTTTGGATCTTATATTTTCAAAAATTATATTGAAATATATATATATATATATATATATATATAAAGTGAAATATTAAAATTTTATAAAAAAAATTAAAAAGATAATTTTATATAATTATTTTTTAAAATATTATATTAATGGGATTAAATGTTTCACATTCATAAGTATAATTACACTAATATACCAAACAACGCATAATCGATTCCGTTAAAGAGTTAGAGCCGCAGGTCGTTCATGGGTGCGACATTTCACCTGCCACACCATCTGCAGCGTAGATGCTCACAGTTCCCCCACAATGTAGTGTAGCTTTCTCTCCATAACGTTGGATGTTCATCATGACAACAGAAACCTCAGGAGGTTGAAATATGTGGGCAACTTCCATCAATTTGATATGGCGTTTAAGGATCACTGCAAAAAAGGGAAGCTGCCCAACTACGTGGTCATCGAGCAGCGCTACTTCGACCTCAAGATCCTGCCAGGAAACGACGATCATCCCTCCCACGACGTCTCCCAAGGGCAGAAGCTCGTGAAGGAGATCTACGAGGCGCTGCGGTCGAGCCCTCAGTGGAACGAGATATTGTTCATCATCACCTACGACGAGCACGGCGGCTTCTTCGACCATGTCCCTACGCCTGTGGGGGTTCCGAGCCCGGACGACATTGCGGGACCTGAGCCATTCTACTTCAAGTTCGATCGCCTCGGTGTTCGCGTCCCCGCCCTGTTCATCTCCCCGTGGATCGAGCCCGGCACAGGTAAAACGAGATTGATTTGCATCAACCTTTACGACTCATGCTCATCATCATCTCCCTCTTCCAGTGATCCATAGGCCATCCGGGCCATACCCTGCATCCGAATTCGAGCACTCATCCATCCCTGCGACCGTGAAGAAGCTCTTCAATCTGAAGGAGTTCTTGACCAAGAGAGATGCGTGGGCTGGGACATTTGAGACAGTCCTCACGCGGACTACACCAAGAACCGACTGCCCAGGTTCGTGAAGTAATTAACTCTTCGAGTTACAGTAACTGTACTCCGGCCTAATGTGTTTCTGTGTGCGGATTGAAGAGACGTTGCCGGAGCCGAAGAAGCTTCGGCCAACGGGTGCTGCTGAAACTGCAAAGCTATCAGAGTTCCAAACAGAGCTGGTGCAATTAGGAGCTTCGCTGAATGGTGATTATGCCAAGGACATTTATCCACGCAGGCTGGTGGAGAACATGACCGTGGCCGAGGGTGCTCAGTACGTGCAGGACGCCTTCAAAACGTTCTTAGAGGAATGCGAAAGATGCCGGAAGGATGGGGACGACGGCTCGCACGTTGTGGTGGTGAACCCAACAAAGGATGCGGTGGGCCCGAAGGGGAAGCGATCCTTGGTTGAGAAGATGTTCTCGTGCTTGAGTTGCAACCGGTCCTAGTTTTATTTGGTTTCTTTATTATTGTGTGGACAAATAGTAATAAAAAAGGCTGAGCCGATTGTGCCTCGCCTAACCTAATGATATAATGATCTCAGGATTTGTACGTGGAAAATACTCGTTCAGAATTCGGTGACATGGTATATCCCGGTACTATACATCTCATCAGTCCCGCACATCAGTCATATTTTTATGCCAAGTTGACATCAGCACCACTCGACAACTGGTGGCCCTTGATGTTACTGAGATCCATCATCTCAACATCCGATAATTCGACGAATGAGTAGAATATTCCTTTGGGTTCACTAATATCCTTGTGCTTATGTAGTTGTCATGTTGCTTGGGTCTTGCCTCGCATGCTGATCTGGTGACCATGTGTTGAGTAGTGATTGGGATCACCATGAGATTACTATTTACCACCCTTTCAATCAATTATTGGACTTCCTTGACCGACCTGAGAGATTACATTTCAATGATCATATGAACTTTCTCAGGATTGACATCTATCCCCCTATGGTGCATGATGAATCTGAGAAATTTTTTTGAGTTTACATCCAAGGCACATTTGGTTGGGTTGAGGTGCATGTTGAATTTCTTCAAGGTTTGGAAGGTCTTGGTCAAGTTGGTTTAGCATCCTATGGTAGTGGCTCTTACATTCTTAAGTTTGAAGGGCATTATTTTGTAGCAGTATGTCTTTTAGTCAGTGACGAAGGATGTGTGCTCTCAATATTCGGGAGTCATACATAAAAGTCAATAACTTATGGTCGGAAATAGCATCTACCAACTAATCAATTTGGGGGAGAGGATAGTTGTCCTTCTTTGTATATGATAGTATGTTCAACACACATCCGTCAATTTCCATTAGCTTTCCTAACAAATACAACATTGGCTAACCATTGGGGATACTCAACTTCATATATAGATCTTATACCTAGCATATTGTCTTCCTCGACATTGATCGTCTATTGGCAATCAGGCATGAATCGACGCAGCCTCTACTTGATTAGTTAGGCTCCAGCAAGGATGTTAATGCAATGTTGCACCACGTCGAGCTTAAACCCCAACATGTCCTTTGTCGACCAAGCAAAAAAGTTCAGAGGTCACTCAAAGGAAGTTGATTAGCTCCACTTGACTGAGCTTTGGGAGTGCCGACCTGATCTTTACTATGTGGTCTAACCTAGCTCGATCCAATGTTACCTCCGAGAGTGGTTCGATTGGCTCAAGAGAAGGGGTCAGCTTTGCTCCTTCCCGAGAGCCTATCAATGGTTGTTTGATGTTGAGCTTCTTATGTAGGGACACTATCATGATGTAGAATTTTTGAGATTTCTTTATATTATTTCTTAACTCTCCAACTCCTAACATAGTAGGGAACTTAATAGACATGTGGTAGATTGACACCACGGTTGATGATTACATTATATGCTAAGGGGTTATAGATCACCAGAAAGTTAGTCAACATTGTCTTAGAATGAGGCTTCATGCACTATTGGGTTTTCAACCATCTCACAACCACCATCACCTCTACAGCAATATACTTATTAGCCCTTTGTAATATCTTAGATACTATCATTGGCTGCTTCTCTATCAGCGACTAGAAGATCCTAAAGTGTCGAAACCTCACCTTGAATGCCAAAGTTAAGAGTGAGGGGTGGACACTTACAAATTTTCTAGCCTTATTGGTGAATCAGAATACAAATTTCACAAATGGTTCACCGTTCACTTGACGAATGCCGAGGAGAGTAGTGGTTTAAGGATCGGGGACTAACGTTTCTCCTGAAATGCTCCATCAATTCTTTGGCCAATTCGATGGAGTAGATGGATAGAGGCTTTCACTTAGCATACCAATCTTGAGTCGGGCCCCTTAGAGTCGTGAGGAATGTTCCACGTATCAAAGCATTATATATACCATAAAGTACCATATGAGCCTAGAAAACTGCCATGTACTCCATCAGGTCGACACCTCTATAAAAAACTTCTAAGTTAGGAAGTTCAAAGCTTAGGGAATAAACTCCTCTTGTATGTGGGGATGCAACCGAAGGAGTCCCCACCTTTGCCATATGGAATTAGTGGTGCATGTCTTCTAGGTGTTAGTTCATCTGCTTAAGTTGTACCCAAAGTGTGTACTTCGAGTCTCCTAACATAGCCTTAGAGTCGTGGTTTATCGAATGGGGTCGACGTAGCCCATCAAACTCGATTGTTGGGGACCTTGGGGCCTCCTTGGTCATGATGTCCATGGGTCGGGGTGGCTTGATCGCCATTTGGTCGAGACTGGCTTGGGCAACTCAACCGGTGTATGCAGCATTGTAGGCTATGTCAGATATAAGAGTAGAAGCATGACTGCTTACACCATTCCCATGAGTATTTATATTTATTGGGCGAGGTTCATGAAAATTTTGATCGGGACCAGCATATGGGTCGATGTCTCTATGGGGGGGGGGGAAAGGTCAGGATTATTAAACAAACACCAATATATGTTTGGGCCAAAGTGGAGGCATTGATTACATATTCATAATATATGAGGCCGTCCTTCTAATATCAAAATAATGAAAACAATTATTTGTGATGCATATGTCGGCAGTCTTGGTCCTAGGCGAGGGTAGCTCTAGCTCTTGTCTACTCAGCCGGTCTTCACCAATTAGGGTCAAAATTAGAAAATTAATTTATGGATGAATAGTAACAAACCTTAAAATTGATGAATCTTTATAGAAAGCCAAGCCGAAGAAAATATTTTACAGTGGGTCGAATATTTCCAATTTATCACCACGGTTAGACTTGGATGACTGCAACCTCATCGTGGGTCCCATCGCGTGGCGAGCTGCGATTGGCGGCGGTAGATTTCTCCCACATCCAGTGTAAAGGAGATGACGAGCTTTTAGGGTCGGGAGAATGTTTCTACTTTGACAAGCTTGAATCAGACTTAAGCACAGGACAAGCGGATGCGTGTGCTGTTTACAGAGAGAACAAAGCCAGCCGATTAAATATATTAGCAAAAGCCATCATGTTCTGCACCTATTCGATCTCAAAGTGACAAAGGACTAAGAGATACATACTAAAGGTCATAAGAAAAACAGAAGTGTCACGACAATATGTACGTTTATTCTACATACAAACTAGAAATATACAAAAGGATAAAAATAAGATAAAGAGACACCGCAAGGAGAATCTGATTTGGTAAAGTTTGTTCTTCAGACGAGCTTGGAGGTTCGGAGGCAGCTATCGATCATCATATAAAGATAACACTACTCCTGAAAACCAATCATCATATATTTTGTGGAGGCAGCTACATCAATTAATAAAACCAACCATGCATACCTTTTTCTAAAGTATTCAAATAGGAGACAATATAAGCAATTGTCAATTCACGCATATTAATTACCGTACGCAGAATCCGACACTTGACTCCCAACGAGAAGCAAAGCCGATCAAATGAAAAAGGGCAAGGAGGCGTAGGCACGTCGGTCGATGATCACTTGATCTCCTTCCTAGCCATCATATAAAGGGAGGGCTTCAGGTGCTCATCTAACACCACCAAGGGTCCGTGAAGGTTACAGACGTAGCCATGGATCCTACGTTCCGTCAATCGGCCATCGCAACAGATAACTGTGACGACGAGAATAGACCACCAACTGTCTTCGACGTGGATTACTTTTGCACCGTGACGTCTCTGATTCAGCAGGAGAAGGACGAGGATCTATTACGCCTAGCCATGAAGAAGGATCCTCCACTCAACTTCATGGAGGACCCTGTGCTCAACGTCGTTATCGCATGCAAGAAGACCGACCTCGCCAAAAGGCTGATTCAAAGCATGCCCGCGGAGAAGCCCGGACCGCTGTGGTACGCTAATTACCACGACAACACGGCTCTCCATGTCGCGGCCACCGTGGGTGACCTCGACGTGGCCGAGGCGTTGCTCCGCAAGAACTCAGGTCTCGTCAGTGCACGGAATAGGAAGAACGAGACACCGCTGCACAAAGCGGCGCTGTACGGGCACGAGACGATGTTCCGGGACCTGGTGAAAATGGGGTCGCACGACCCGTACGAGCGGAGGGAGGACGGCGCCACCGTGCTGTGTCATCATGGGCAGCGCGCCGGGTGAGTTGTCATCAATTCCAGGAAGCCATAGTCATATATAGCCCCTTTCTTGTTTTCTAGAAATATGTTTACATAGTTGAATTGTAATGTAGCTTTAGCACAGAAGATTGCAAAGAAATATCCACGGCTGATCACGTCGAGGAATGATGCTGCGGTGACTCCGCTGCAGTTGATGGTGACCATTCCGGGGTTATTCCGAAGCCAAACGAATCTTGGGACCTTCGAGGCCGTAATTTATAAGCGTGCGTGCAAGCGGATCGATACATCCGTCGTAATGTAATTTCGAGGATTTACTTCACCATAAAACAATCACAGCATGAAGTTATGGTAACTAAGGCTTGCTACATCAAATAAAAGCACACCAATATGCATGCTAGCTCTTGAAACTTCACGGCTGTATACTTTGATTGGAATGTTACAGTGATTCCATACGAAGAGGACTCCAGCAAGCCACGTGTAGTAGATGAAGAGCAACCTACGGACTCGAGCGCTGGTGAAGTATGTGCTTCCGGATGAATCATTTTATTTTGCATGATGGCATGGATATAGTTCATGAGGTCGATAACATCATTTCTAGTACTTGTCAATAATATTTATCACAAAATCTAAGAGAAGTGTTTTCCTCAAACTAGACAATACAAAGTTTGATCTACCATGTGTTAGAAATTTTTGTAATACGAGTCGGAGTCATTCTGGTTAGGGTTAACGAATTACCCTTTCAGGATATTTCTATTCATCTCACATATGAATATGGGTTTTTAAAGTCTTTCACATATTCATAAAGGTATAAACTTAATATATGTAACTCAATTCTTTCAATCATGAATGAACTATCCTTTTTAAGTCTTTCTCTTCTTTGAAGGGTTCAAACTTCCGGTTCATATATTTTTTAACTTTACGATACGGTTCACACATCGACGTCTACCCAGTGGTATGACTCATCTACATTCAGTGGCTGGAATATTATATATATTTTTTTATAAATCATGAGTTTGAGTCATATTCTAGTTAGGGTTAATGTATATTGGTCATACGTCATACATCAATTGAATCTAGAAACTTAAAATTTTTATATTATGGATCAAATTTAGTATATGTAATCAGACTCTTTCAATTATTAGTAATATGAGACTATCCTCTTAGAATATTTCTTTTCATCTCACATATGATTTGTCCTTGCTCGAGTATTATTTCCTTCTATTGTTTCTGACGTTGGCGTCTACATGTACGTAATAAGGGAGGTGCAAAATATGTCAAGCGAAAAGTTGGGTCTCTTCTGTCCCCCAAAACGTTTCGTTCGAAATTCCCATCTCACTACAGCAGTCTCTTTGACCTGTTGGAATTGATGTTCATCCCAGGTACTCACTCCTACGAGCTTCTCTACTTACATTTCTTGCCTGAATCTTATTGTTGGATCACAGTACTACACCGATTCATGCTTCTGTTGATGCAGCCAGATGGGTTCATTTGTTGCTTTTCCACATTCTAAAGCAATGTAAGTCATTGTTCGTGGATGGATGCATGATGTTTAGACCTGTTGTCCTTTTCCAATTAATGTTATTGGAATTGCAATGCATCATGCAGTGTTCCCTATGATCGAATGTCTGGAGAAGTTAAAGAAAACCCACAAGGAAACCTTGGAACTGATCGAGTTCTTAGCCTATTATTCAAGGCAAATGGGGTTCTATTCCAAGGGAAGACGAAAAGGCGAGGACGAAAGTCTTCTTGTTGGAGACATCACCAGTTCTTCAACAGGACAGTCTCCTCCGTCCACAGACGCTGGTGAAGGCCAAGGAGTAAATGGAGGAGGGAACCGAGATCGAGACTTTGATAGGTTTGCGGAAAAGCTATTTATGTATATGTCGCACAAGGATGCCAATCACGAAGCAGCAGCAAAAGAGCTCAAGAAGAGCATGAAGGAGTCGATGGAGGAAGTGTCCGGTGAATCCACAATTAGAAGATGGGACGAGCCGCCCCTGATCTTGGGTGCACAAATGGGTCTTCCTGAGTTCGTCGGGTCGATCTTGCTAGTATGTCCGCAGGCAGCAGCATACCTGGACACCAAGGGGAGAAGCGTTCTCCAGGTGGCTATAGAGAACGGTAACTTAGAGATCGTGGAAACTATACGTGAGATGACGCAAGGGAACTGCCCCATCCTACCATCCTGGCTACTGTCCACAGTCGAGAAGAACACCAAGAGTACCATCCTGCATTTTGCTTCCACCAAAGGCCCTGGTGATGACCAAGCTGCAGTACAGATGCAAGATGAACTGATATGGTTTGAGGTCGAGTTGCTAGCTAATAGCTACGGTAATTTTCCTTTTTGGTTCAGCAAATTAATTAGCACTCGCATGATGTGTATGCAGATGGTGAGAGACATGGTTCCTCAAGAACTAGTGCACTACCGTAACGATGCAGAAAAGACAGCACAAGAGATGTTTAGTGAGAGTCACAAAGAGATGGCTAAGGCGTGCAAGGAACAACTGGTGGGGATGGGCCAGACATGCTCAGGGCTTCTGGCCGCCGTGGTGTTCGCGTCGACCTTATCCATCCCCGGCGAGAAGGATCCGGCAACCGGAAACCCGGTCTATTTCGACAGGCTACCTTTTCGGATCTTCTCGCACACGTTCGTGATTGGGTTGTCAAGCGCCGCTACATCTCTGGTGTTGTTCCTATCCCTCCTCGTCGCGCCTTACAAGGAGCAGCAGTTCCGCCGTGCCATCCCAATCAAGTACTTCTTCGCCTGCTTGTCATTTGGGATCGCGCTGCTGGCTTTTCTGGTGGCATTCACCTGCAACATCTACTTGCAAACCTATGTCGGACAGAGATCGGAGACGAAGGACTTGATTATACTCCTACTGGAGCTCATTGTCTTCCCCATCGTGTGCTGCCTCTTTCTCTTCTCTCGTGGCTCCTATTTCCTTCGGTCTTTCGGTTCTCTCTGCCGTTGACTCAGTTTTTGTCTCTATGCTGTGATGTGCGAGCTTTGACACTGTGACAGTCGATGGATGTTTGGTGTTATTTTTATATACATATTATGTTTAGTCATATGTGTTAATAAATGAGATGTAATTTGATATATAATTTTTTTATTTATTATATTTTGATATTTATCATTATATATATATATATATATATAGTTATTTTTGGATATGTAAAATGAGAATCAAATTGTGAGATAACGACCGATTCATTTTTAAATACAAATCATAAATAATTTCGATCATAGGAGAGATACATCGAGATAATCGGACAGACTAGTGTACTGTATACCTGTCTATATGATAGATATAGCTGGTCTCACGGTTGCTCGTGTAGGGATACTAGGGATATAGTACAAGTGCTCATTGGAAAATGAGTTTACTGATTGATCCGCTTACGGAATGCTGGATGGTTAATGATGTCTTATTGTCAGACAGTGATTTCGTAGTCCTAGTGGTGTATCTGGTCCTTAGACTTGAGACACCAATGATGTCCTATATGAGTGCTTCACTCTTTGATACTAGACTTATCGGTTTGGATGTCTCAGATCTAGCACAACCGGTTATCGGGAGTGGCAGTCAATCTTACGAGGACTATTGAGTGTCGATAGAGGATCATCCACTCTCGGTGTAATGAGAAGAATGTCCCATGTATTTTTGCTCAGACAAATCCCTAGCCTTGGTCATTTGGAATGAGAGAGAAAGAGTTCTTTAGGAGAATCCGATTAGAGCGAGACTCGAGTAGAAACCGTATGATTTTGACAGCACCATGCTCGGTATACGGTCTCTGGGATATTAGATGTATGAGAGACTATAGGTATACGGTAACTGAGGATAGACAAGATCAATGATTGGATTCCCTTGTATCGTTTGAGGACTGCGACGTAATAGCCTAATACGACGGTAGTCGATGAGTTGAATGAATTATTATGAAGATAACAATTCATTAAGCCAGAAGGAGTTCTGATATGTATGACTCACGGACAGCTCGATATTAGACCTAGAGGATCACATACATATGGTAGGCATTGCGATGAGTAGAGATTCGAATATTATATATCCGTCGGAGCCCCTATCTTATTGGATATTAAATAAGCTAATGAATTATTGAATCCTATGGATGTGATCCAATAAGAGCTCATGTGAGATTATTGGATATAAATCCACTAATTTGAAAGACTTGGGTAGTTGGATAAATATCCAATACCCAATAGAGGATGATTCATTAGGGTTAAGTTGACATGAGACCTTTATAAATAGGATAAATAGGAATGAATCAGTGGTTCATAGGCTAGAGTTTTGAGGGCTAAAAAGGAGGGCACTTGACCTCCTTCACCCTTTAATAGAGATCTGTAAGGATTCAAGGATATACGATCACCATAGGTAACATAATTTATCTCATACGTGGTTTTCTGTTTTACGGATTTTTATGCACCAATCTTCGCACGACGACAAACATATCTTTGGGAATTATATATTTTGTTTCATGTTCTTCCGTGATGTCGCCTCCCAAAATTTTCCGACATACGCACTATTTAAATAGTTGATTTTTGTAGTGATTTTGTTTTAGGATTCATTTCTCTCGGAGGATTGTGGATCATGTTTAACTAAGCTTTTAATTATTCCCCCTTTCCCTTACAATTGATTTTGAGGTCATTGGATACATATTTATTTACGATGTCTTTTCTTTTCCATGAATGTTATTGAATCCTCGTATCAACCACATAGTATCGGTACTCACATGTCACAAAATTATTATCATTTTTTTTCGATTTCTCTGATTTGTGTGTTCTCTCCCTAATAAAATATTCGTGATAAAATACATATTTTTTTTAAACAAAATATGTTATCTGGTCTGATAAGAATTCATTAGAAAAATTACACAAGTAAATAAGTAAAATCTTTTGCTTGGTGGACTCTTTTTTTATAAACTAATCATACGATAATAAAACTATGCAATAATTATACTAACCATTGTGATATCTCAACATATATAATTTTTAAATAAAAATTATAAGAAGAATATAGAATATAGAGGAAGAGATCGCCCAAAGTTAGGTATATGCGTGAGTCATGTTCTTGATTTATTAGAATTTTTAGCATCAAAGAGTCAAACATCTAATACCGTTTGAAAAAGTTAAAAAAAAAAGTTATTGTATTAAATGATATACATAGTAGACTTAAACTTGAGACTTATAACCAATTGAATATCTCAATAGAGATAAAATTCTAATGTTTTAGGTTTTGATTATTACTCGACCCTCTTAAACAAAGTTGAAGTTGGATAAAAATTAGGAGGACTTTTATTATTGGCAACATTAAATCAGCTAAAGTTCGCACGACAAAGCGAAGCTTTCTAAAGACAATTAACTGCAATTCTTTTTTTTTTTTGTTTCTTTTCCAAAGTGAACTACAATTCTTTTCTTTTTCAAAGGGGAAAAAAAAGAAAAAGGGAGGCACAACGACGAGAATTGCAATTGAGATGCGTATTCTTTACGTAAATATGAATCATCCTAAAACGAAGGGAAAGAAAAAGGAAAAAAGAAAAAGACTGTGTTCTTCCCGCATGGATGTCTATTCTTCGTTCTCTCACACGCCGTCTGTGTCTTCAAATTTAGATTGTACGAATGTGTCCTCCATTTTCAAGCATCAGCCATACGATTATTACCTTCAGGTAATTCCCGTTGGGCGGCTCAACCTGCATTTGCGGCACCGTCGGAGGTGAGGATGTGGGTCGACTGCTGGATAGGGGAAAAGGTCAGAGTCATTAAATAAACATCAATACTATATGTGTGTCTGGGTGAAGTAGTCAAAACTAGTTGTTGGCCTCTCTCCTCCTCGTTTGTACGATGTGAGACTCTTCTTTTAGTATCGATGATGTCTTTGTCAACCCGACTCAATGTGTGCAGGAGCTTGAGAATGTCTGAGAGGCTAGCTCGAGTTCTTGCCTGATTGCTCGATGATCGATTCCTAAGTTAAAGCCAAAGTGAGAAAAAAAAAATCATGGATAAATAATAACTAAACTTCGTAATAGTAAAGAGATGAATATTTATAGAATATTTTATGGTATAATCAAATATTTCTTTGATAGGACCACAGTCTCATCCTGGGTCCCATCACGTAGCGAGTTGGGGGTGGTGGATTTCTGCCCCATCAAGTGTAAAGGAGATGACGAGTTTTGAGTGTCGGGAGTGTGTTTCTACTTTGACAAGCTTGAATCAGCCTTAACCGCAGGACAAGTGGATGATTGTGCTGTTTAGAGAGGTAACAAAGCCAGCCAATTAAATATATTAGCAAAAGCCTTCATGGTCTCCACCTATTCTATCTCAAAGTGACAAAGGAGGAAGAGATGTGTACTAAAGGGCATAAGAAAAACACCAAGTGCCACGACTATATAGACGCTTATTCTATATACAAACTAGAAATAGACAAAAGGATAAAAATAAAATAAAGAGACACCGCAATAAGAATCGGATTTGGTAAAGAGTTTTCCTCAGTCGAGCTGGGAGGATCGGCTAAGAGTTTTGTAAAGGCAACACTGCTGATGAAAACCAATCGTCATATTTTGTGGCGGCAGCTGCTTTCAATTAATAAAACCAATCATGCTTACCTTTTTCTAAAGTGTTCAATGAGGAGACAATAAAAGGAACTGTCAATTCACGCATATTACTTACCGTACGCAGAAGGAGGCGTAGGCACGTCGGTCGATGGTCACTTGATCTCCTTCCTGGCCATCATATAAAGGGAGGCCTTCAGGTGCTCATCTAAGACCACCAAGGGTACGTGAAGGTTGAAGACGTAGCCATGGATCCTTCGGGAAGCTATTTGGCCCTCCCAACAGATAACTGTGACGACGAGAATAGACCACCAACTGTCTTCGACGTGGATTACTTTTGCACCGTGAAGTCTCTGATTCAGCAGGAGAAGTACGAGGATCTATTACCCCTAGCCATGAAGAAGGATCCTCCACTCAACCTCATGGAGGACCCTGTGCTCAACGTCGTCATCGAATACAAGAAAACCAACCTCGCCAAACGGCTGATTCAAAACATGCCCGCGGAGGAGCACGGATCGCTGTGGTACGCTAATTACCACGGCGACACGGCTCTCCATGTCGCGGCCACCGTGGGTGACCTCGACGTGGCCGAGGCGTTGCTCCGCAAGAACTCAGAACTCGTCAGTGCACGGAACAACAAGAACGAGACACCGCTGCACAAAGCGGCGCTGTACGGGCACGAGACGATGTTCTGGGACCTGATGAAAATGGTGACGCATGACCCGTACGAGCGGAGGGAGGACGGCGCCACGGTGCTGCACTGTGCCATCATGGGCAGCGCGCCGGGTGAGTTGTCATCAATTCCAGGAAGCCATAGTCATATATAGCTCCTTTCTTGTTTTCCAGAAATATGTTTACATAGTTGAATTGTAATGTAGCTTTAGCACTGAAGATTGCCGAGACATATCCACTGCTGATCACGTCGAGGAATGATGATGCGGTGACTCCGATGCAGCTGACGGTGACCATTCCAGGGTTATTCCGAAGCCTAACGAATCTTGGGCCCTTAGAGGCCGCAATTTATATGCGTGAGTGCAAGCGGATCGATACATCCGTCGTAATGTCATTTATAGGATTTACTTCACCATAAAACAATCACAGCATGTAGTTATGGTAACTAAGGCTTTGTTACATCAAATAAAAGCACACCAATATGCATGCTAGCTCTTGAAACTTCACGGCTGTATACTTTGATTGCAATGTTGCAGTGATTCCAAACGAAGAGGACTCCAGCAAGCCACGCGCAGTAGATGAAGAGTCACCCAGGGGCTCGAGCGCTGGTGAAGTATGTGCTTCCGGATGAATCATTTTATTTTGCATGATGGCATGGATATAGTTCATGACGTCGATAGCATCTTTTCTCGTACTTGTCAATAATATTTATCACAAAATTTAAGAGAAGTTTTTTCCTCAAACTATAGACGAGACAAAGTTTGATCTACCATGTGTTCGAAATTTTTGTAATACGAATTACCCTTTCGGAATATTTCTATTTATCTCACACATATGAATATAGGTTTTTAAAGTCTTTCACATATTCATAAAGGTTTAAACTTAATATATGTAACTCAATTTTTAAGTCTTTCTCTTCGAAGGGTTCAAACTTCGAGTTCATATATTTTTTAACTTTACGATATGGTTCACACATCTACATCTACCCAATGGTATGACTCATCTACATTCAGTGGATGGAATATTATGTAATTTATTTTTTTATAAATGATGAGTTTGAGTCATATTCTAGTTAGGGTTAATGTATATTAGGTCATACGTCATACATCAATTGAATCTAGAAACTTAGATTTTTATATTATTAATCAAATTTAGTATATGTAATTGGATTCTTTCGATTATTAGTAATATGAGACTATCCTCTTAGAATATTTCTTTTCATCTCATATATGATTTGTCCTTGCTCTAGTATTATTTCCTTCTATTGTTTCTGAGGTTGTCGTCTACATGTACGTAATAAAGGGAGGTGCAAAATATGTCAAGCGAAAGGTTGTGTCTCTTCTGCCCCCCAAAACGTTTCGTTCGAAATTCCCATCTCACTACAGCGGTCTCTTTGACCTCTTGGAATTGATGTTCATCCCAGGTACTCACTCCTACGAGCTTCTCTATTTACATTTCTTACCTGGATCTTATTGTTGGATCACAGTACTACACTGATTCATGCTTCTGTTGATGCAGCCAGATGGGTTCATTTGTTGCTTTTCCGCATTCTAAAGCAACGTAAGTCATTGTTCGTGGATGGATGCATGATGTTTAGACCTGTTGTCCTTTTCCAATTAATGTTATTGGAATTGCAATGCATCATGCAGTGTTCCCTATGATCGAACGTCTGGAGAAGCAAAAGAAAACCCACAAGGAAACCTTGGAACTGATCGAGTTCTTAGCCTATCATCCAGACCACATGGAGTTCTATTCCAAGGGAAGACGAAAGGGCAAGGAGAAAAGTCCTCTTGCAGGAGACAACACCACTTCTGGAACAGAACAGTCTCCTCCGTCCACAGACGCCGGTGAAGGCCAAGGAGTAAATGGAGGAGGGAACCGAGATAAAGCCATTGTTAGGCTTGCGGAAAAGCTATTTATGTATATGTCGCACAAGGATGCCAATCACGAAGCAGCAGCAGCAAAAGATCTCCAGAAGAGCATGAAGGAGGCGATGGAGGAACTGTCCGGTGAATCCACAATTAGAAGATGGGACGAGCCGCCCCTGATCTTGGGTGCACAAATGGGTCTTCCTGAGTTCGTCAGGTCGATCTTGCTAGTACGTCCGCAGGCAGCAGCATACCTGGACACCAAGGGGAGAAGCGTTCTCCAAGTCGCAGTCATGTATCGTCGCGAGGAGATTGTCAAGATCATAATGGACATGAGAACCATTTTACCATCCTGGTTATTTTCCGAAATCGAACCCAAAACCGGGAACACCATCCTGCATCTTGCTTCAGATGGAAGCCCTGATGTAGCAAAGAAAAAGCAAGATGAACCAGATTCAATGGAACTGCATTACGATTTAGTATGGTTTGAGGTAAAGTTGCTAAACCTTTTTTGGCCCCCCTCCTCCAATTCTTTGACATGCTTCTCAAAAGTATTATCCGTTCAATTCTTTGACATGCATTCTTCGGTGTCGGTTGTGGGTTATTCGCGCATAATACAAAATAACCAACAAATACACAAATAAAATCTACATATTCTCAGAGTTGCGTACTAAATTTGATCGTTTTCTGACATTTGTATGCAGACGGTGGAAAATATGGTTCCCATGGAATTAACCTACAGTCGAAACGCGCAAGCAAAGACCGCAAAAGAGATGTTTACTGAGAGTCACCAAGTGATGCTCAGGAGTTGCAAACGTCAACTAATGGAAACGGGCAGGATGTGTTCAGGGTTGGTCGCTGCAATAGTGTTCGCGTCGAGCTTCTCCGTCCCCGGCGATAAGGACCCAGCGACCGGCAACCCGGTTTGCTTCGGTAGGGCAACTTTTAAGGTCTTCTCACGTGCGTACGCGATTGGGTTGTCATGCGCCGCCACATCTCTGGTGTTGTTCTTATCCCTCGCCACGTCAGCTTACAAGGAGCAGAAGTTCCGTCGTATAATCCCAACCAAATACTTCTTTGCCCGCTCGTCGTTTGGGTTTGCGATGCTGTCTTTTCTGGTGGCGTTCACCTGCAACATCTACCAACAATTATATGGCTGTCAGAAGACGAAGTCGAAGGACTTGATTCCATTCGTAATGGAGCTCACCGTCTTCCCCGTCATCTGTTTCCTGGTGTTGTTCTTTTGTGGCTCCGATTTCGGTCTATCTTTCCTTCGTCTTTGGCGTTGAGTCAACAAGCATGATCGTCCACATCTTTGGAATCTGCAGCTTCATGATGTAACGTGGGTTCTACCTATTACGGTATGCCACCTGTTCTAGCGGTTTGTGGTAGTAGAAGTCATTGGCCAGTTAATATCTTGCGTGTACAAGCAGCAACAAAGGCATGTTATATATGGACGCTATTTCAATGTAACTTTAATGTGGTTTTATCTTCTATCTTCGATTAGATGATATCGTTGCAACGGTAGTAGACAAAAGAGCTGACCATGAATAATGGTGTTGGCCCTCTCTATTGTTTTTGTTTTTGACCAAGTCCATATGACAAAGCTTTTGATCGGATCTTACCCTGTATCGTCATGTATACTGTCTCATGTCGAGTGACAGATTTCCCCTGTCACATGCAAATTGCAGGGAGATGTATGGACGTTCTTTCGTTTTAATCTTCTGTGACACTCACATAGTCCATATCGTACAGTATTGTTCCACCAAAGTTTGCACATGCAAACGAAATGATTGGCTTCTTATAGAAGCCAATCATTCAAGAAGCGAAGGAGGTCAATTTTGGATTACAAAATGATCATTTAGCTTTTCCATCCCCGGCGAGAAGCATCCAGCAACCGGAAACCCGGTCTATTTCGACAAGCTACCTTTTCGGATCTTCTCGCACGCGTTCGTGATTGGGTTGTCAATCGCCGCTACGTCTCTCGTATTGTTCCTATCCTTCCTCGTCGCGCCTTACAAGGAGCAGCAGTTCCGCCGTGCCATCCCAGTCAAGTACTTCTTCGCCTGCTTGTCATTTGGGATCGCGCTGCCGGCTTTTCTGGTGGCATTCACCTGCAACATCTACTTGCAAATCTATGGCGGACAGAGATCGGAGTCGAAGGACTTGATTATACTCCTACTGGAGCTCATCGTCTTCCCTTTCGTGTGCACCTATTTTTTTCCGTCTTTCGGTTCTTTCTGGCGTTGACTCAGTTTTTGTCTCTATGCTGTGAGGTGTGAGCTTTGACAGTCGATGGATGTCTGGTGTTGTTTTTATATGCCATATGCACTATTTAAATGGTTTATTTTCGTAGTGATTTTGCTTTAAGATTCTTTTGATTGTGGATCATGTTTGACTCAGCTTATAGTTATTCTCTCTTTCCTTACAATTGATTTCGAGGTGATTGGGTACTTATTTATTTAAGATGCATTTTATTTTCTTTTCCATGAATGTTGTTGGATCCTCGTATCAACCACATAGTATTGGTAGGTCACATAATTCTGATCATTTTTCTCGACTTTTCTGATTTGTGTGTTCTCTCCTCTAAGATACTCATGATAAAATATTTTTTTTAAAAAAATATATTTTCTCCTCTGATAAGAATTCATTAGAAAAATTAAATAAGTAAAATCTTTTGGCTGAGGCTGTGCTACTTTTTTATATACTAATCATACGATAATAAGACGTCGAGATCTATAAACTATGTAACAACTATACTTACCATTGTGATATCTCAACATACATAATTTTAAATCAAAATTATAAAAAAATTATAGAATATAGAGGAAGATATCGTCGAAAGTTAAGTATATGCTCGAGCGATTTATTATAATTTTTAACATCACGACAGTCAAACATCTAATATTTCTTGAAAAAATTAAAATAATTATTATATTAAATAATATATATGTGAACTTAAACTTGAGAGTTATTACTTATGTAATAATGTGTTAATCAATCAAGCGTTTGAAACTTGTATTATTACTCGATCCTGTTAATCAAAGTTGAAGTTGGATGAAAATTAGGAGGACGTCTATTATTAGCAACCTTAAATCAGCTAAAGTGCGCACGACAAAGCGAAGCTTTAATTAACTGTAATTCTTTTTTTTTTTGTTCTTTTTCAAAGTGAACTACAATTCTTTTCTTTTTCAAAGGGGGAGGGAAAATTATTGAGATGCGTATTCTTCACGCAAACATGAATCATCCTAAAAGGAAGGGAAAGAACAAAAGAAAAAGGAAAAGATAGCAATGAAAATGATTAACGCAAGCATGCATGTCTGTTCTTCATTCTCTCACACACCGTCTCTGTCTTCAAATCGAGATTGTACGTCCATGTCCTCCATCTTTAAGCAGCAGCCACACCATTCCTTTGTGGGGATGGAAGACGACAAGATTTGTCCCAGGTTTAAAGTTGTGCAACACAGTTCATCCACGATCTAGAAAACTTGATGCGAATAAATGAATGAAGGAGATGTATTACTGGGTTGACAAAATTAAACTCGAAGATCTGGTGGGTGATCGATTAATTCAGTGTTTTTGGCTGCAGGCAATGGGCATTAATGGTTATGATTGTTATTGTTTTATTTCCTTAAACCAGAAGAGGTGGGTCAGTGGCTCTCTGTTGCCACTTTTGAGGTAGGAAGGTACTCAATTGCAGTGCAATCCCACGCTAGCCCACAAGAAGAGGCAAAGCTAATCAACCGAGATTTGAGGAACGATGGCTTCATCTCCTGCCCATCATCAATATAAAGGGAGGCCTCCAGCAGCAACAGCAGAAGGAGGTGGAGGTGGAGGCGTGCATACGGTCATCCAGTGGCGCTATGGGAACTCCCAACGGCTTGACCTCTTCTGTGTTTCCGGAAAGTGGGAACGAGCCCTCTTTGGATTATATTGATGAGAGAAGAAAAGAGACGAAGGAACCCCCGCACAAGCTCGACCAGCGGTACTTCCGCATGGTGAAGTCTCACATTCGTCATGGAAGGAACGACAAACTCTTGGATCTGGTCAAAAGTAATCCCGATCGCAGAGTGAACCTCATGGAAGACACTTTGCTCCACATCGTCATCGCTTGTGGGAAGACCGACCTCGCCAAAAGTCTCATCGGGCAGATGGGGGCGGTTCACCTCAAGGCCAAAAGTTGGAACGGCGACACACCTCTTCACGTCGCTGCCGCCGTGGGTGACTGCGAGGTGGCCACTGAGCTGGTCCGCAACAACAAAGAAATCATCAGGGAGCGGAACTTGAAGCTGGAGACGCCGCTGCACAAAGCGGCGCTGTACGGGCAGCGGGACATGTTCTGGTGCATCATTGAGGAGGACAACGACTGCTTCAAGGACCGGAGGGAGGATGGAGCCACCGTGCTGCATTGTGCCATCATGGGTAATGCGCCGTGTAAGTTCAACACCAATAACCCACAGAATACTTGGCGTGACTCTATCGACTTAGCTTCTCATCAAAATTTAGCTTCATGTAGCGCTTGCATTGGAAATTGCAAGGCAATATCCAGAGCTGATCACGTCACGGAATGCTGATGCGGTGGCGCCGTTGCAGCTAATGGTGACCATTCCCGGGTTATTCCGAAGTCAGATGGCGCTTGGCTCCCTTGAATCCTTTCTCTTCAGATGTAAGAGCTATCCCTCCTCTTCAATTTTCATGCTCTTTTCCTTTCGCCACTCTGTTTTCTTTTTCGTTTTTTGGTTTTGACGGCATATTCCAGTGATTCCTTTGGAAGAGGACTCTCCCAAGGCTCGTGATGGAGACGAAGAAGCACCTAAAAGCACGGATGTATGTGTTTCTGAATGAATGATTTGACTTCACATGATAGATTGAAGTTATGAGTAATGCTATTCTGACTTTGGTGCACACATGTATGTAATCTCAAGCGAGCGAACGTCACAGAAGAAATAGAAGAAGATGACTATGAAGATTTGGAGAGGCCGAGAAGAATTCGTTCAAAATTCCCATCTCAATACAGACCTCTCTTCGACCTATTGGAATTGATGTACATTCCAGGTACCACTCATTTCTCACGGTTCTGGATCCATTATTGTAATTGGATTACACTGATTTATGCTTTTTATCTATATATGCAGCCAGATGGATTCAACTGCTTCTTTTCAACATTTTAATGCAACGTGAGTGACCGTTCCCAAAGATCGACTTGACTGCAGCATTGATTTGTTGGCCTCTTCTGATGTTATTGTGATTGCAATGCAATGCATTATGCAGTATCCCCAAGAATCCGACGTCTGGAGGAGATAAAGAGAACCCACAGAGCAGCTTTGCAACTTATCGAGTATTTAGTCCACAAAGAAGAATACGTGGATTTCTTCAGCCAGGGAACCGATGGGGTGGCTATAGAAGGTTTTGAACACCCAGCAGAAGCCACTGGCGAACGACACCGAGAAAGAGGAGGGCGACGAGATCAGCTGGTCATTGCGTTTGCGGAAAAGTTTTTCAGATTCGCGTCGCACGGCGATGACAGAGTCACAGAAGAGGAGCTGCGTAAGTGCATGCAGGACGCCATAGGGGCACTGTCGCCTGAGTCTGCTAGATGGAACGAACCACCATTGATCTTGGGAGCCCAAATGGGCCTTCCCGAGTACGTCAGGACGATCTTAAAGGTGTCTCCACAGGCTGCGACCTACTTGGACACCAAAGGGAGAAGCGTTCTCCAGGTGGCGATCGAGCATGGTAACCTGGAGATCGTAGAAACCATACGCGAGATGACCGAGGGGCACAATCCCATTCTGCCGTCCTGGCTACTGTCCTGCGTCGATGGAACCACCGGAGGAACCATCCTGCATTTTGCCTCGGCGAAAGGCCCTGATAATTACCAAGACGCGATGCAAATGCAAGATGAACTAAGATGGTTTGAGGTCCAGTTGCTAACTTCATTAACCTTGCTTTGATTCATCTATCGAAAACCTCTTCTGTTTTTGACTGGCACTTGGTTGCAGACGGTGAGACACATGGTTCCTAAAGAACTAGTGAACTATCAAAACGAGAGACAGAAGACAGCACAGGAGATATTTACGGAAAGTCACCAAGATATGCTCAAGAACTGCAAGGATCAACTAATGGAGATGGGCAAGACATGTTCGAGCCTTGTGGCGGCCGTGGTCTTTGCGTCGAGCTTCTCCATCCCCGGCGAGAAGGATCCAGCAACCGGAAACCCAGTCTACTTCAACAGACTGCCTTTTAAGATCTTCTCACACGCGTACGTGATTGGGCTGTCAAGCGCCGCTACGTCTCTGGTGTTGTTCTTATCCCTCGTCATATCGCCTTACAAACAGCAGCAGTTCCGCCGTGCCATCCCGGCCAAATACTTCTTTGCCTGCTTATCATTTGGGGTGGCGCTGATGGCTTTCCTGGTGTCGTTCACCTGCAACATCTTTCTGCAAATCTATGGCGGGCAGAGATCTGAGAGGAAGGACTTGATTCCGCTCTTGCTCGAGCTCATGGTCTTTCCATTCGTCTGTGTTATCGTGTTGCTCTATCGTGGCTCGAGTTTTGGTCCATCTTTTGCTCGCCTTTGGCGTTGAGTCAGTAGTTATTGCGATCATTGTCCACACCTTCCAATCTGCAGCATGATGTCGGGACAGTACGTGATGTGTTGAATTCCGTAACTTTTATCAACGATAAGAATGATTTTGATAAATTGTTAATTGGATTTCTTTATACCACCCAAAAAGGTTTCTTTTCAGATGCATAATATATAAATGTTGACTACTTGAGATGAAGATTTATGAAATAAATAGCGAAGGTCGCAAGATGTCATGCTAAATAAGTTGTTTTTAAAATTTGAATGGATAGATATTAATAAAAGAAGTAACCCTTTCAAACAGTATAATATAATTTTATAATTTATAATCGTTGAAAGACCAGAAAAAAGAAGAAGCTATAAAAGAAGATGATGATAAAAAGAGAATTTATGTTTGTTCGATATGCTACCATCACTTATTATCGTCTGTGATGAGGAGAAGAAGGGACGAAGGAAATATATTTACGTCTATTCGTAGATAGATTTTTTAAAAAATTTTAAAATAAGATGATAAATATAAAAAAGAAAATGGCAGGTTTGGGAAGAAATTTAAAGTAGCTTAAATTGAGACGGCTGTTCTTTATGTAAGCTTGACAAACACGAGTGAAAGACAAAGTGAAGTGTGTGCAGTTGTCCTTTTTCTTTTACGATTTATTCAAAGACTGCAGCTTAATTTAACAAAAGCCATCGCATTTGCCTAATTTTGCTTTTGTATAGGGAACGAAAGAACAAAGACACGTTGGGGAGAATCGGCTTTTTGTACTTTAATACCGTCGGAAGAGTTACCTAACATAGCGATCTATGAAAGCTCGAGTAGAGAATCTGAAGCTATTACCCAATGAGAAGCAAAGCTACTCGATCAACTGGGAATGAGGAAGGTGGCGTCTGTCGGTCGATGGGGACCAACTTCATCACCTCGTCTCCTCCTCCCCTTGGCCATTATATATTTAGTGGTTGGTGAGAACGTAGCGAAAGGAGCGGCTCCCTTCGACGTGTTACGGATATGGCGGCTCCTTCCAGCACCCAAAAGCCGACGCTTGCTACTGATGCAGGCACCGGATCAGGGACAAAAGGAGAGAAACAGCCGTCTGGCTCCGGGAAAGGCGCAGGTGATGGTGGATCAGAGGAACCACCGCATGTCCTGGACGTGGCACGCTTCCAACGACTGAACTCGCTCATCCACCGTGAGAACGTGGACGTGAACGAACTCCTGCGTCTAGTGGAGCAGAATAACCACGTGAACCTCATGAACGACCCGCTGCTCAGCGTCGTCATCGCCTGCAAGAAGTCCAAGCTCGCCGTCCGCCTAATCGCCAAAATATCATCAAATGACATTCTCGAGGCCTACAACTACAACGGCGACACGGCGCTTCACGTGGCTGCAGCCATGGACGACAAAGAAGTGGCCTCGGAGCTGATCCGCAGGGTGCCAGTTCTCGTTCGTGTGCGGAACGGGAAGCAGGAGATACCGCTACATAAGGCGGCCCTGTACGGGCAGAAGGACATGTTCTGGTTGCTGGTGGAAAAGAACAGCTCACCGGAAGCCCGGAGGGAGGACGGCGCCACCATGCTTCACTGTGCCATCATGGGCAATGCGCCAGGTAACTATCGCTACATCCTCTTTCCCTTGTACATGGTTCAACTTCAATTAGCATCTCGGTACGCCTGCAGTACTCGCCATGGAGATTGCAAAGACTTATCCAATTCAGGTTGAATCCCGGAATGAGCGCGCCCTCACTCCGCTGCAGCTGTTGGTGACTATTCCTGAGGCATTCCGAAGCCAAGTAGTTCTTGGGGCCCTCGACTCCTTCGTCTACGAATGTGAGTGCTACCCTCCTCTTCTCCTTTTTCTCTACATACAGCAATAATTCTCATCTACGATGAGGCTAAAAAATCAATTAAAATGTGCATAAGTATATTCGTAGAGCTCTTTGGTTTTACATTTCAGGGATTCCTTTGGAAGAGGACTCGAGTAAAATGAACAAAAGGGATGAAGAGGTGGCACTCGACAGATCTGTATGTGGCTTATGCATGAATGACTTTTTACATGACACTGCTTCGAATCATGAGTACATCGGTTACGTTTAGCTCTCTGATTCGGTTCTCTCTGTGGCATGCACATGTAATCTCAAGCGCATTGGAGTAGCACAAGACGATGACGGTGACCACTCGCCTAAGACTTTTCGCTCAAAATTCCCATCAAACTACAGCACGCTCTTTGACCTGTTGGAGTTGACCAGCATCCCAGGTGCTCGTTCTAGCTTCTCTACTTGCCAATAATATCCATCGTAAAGTGAAAGGCCCTTAATCTATCATGTTATGGTTATTAAAGGTAGGATAACATTGATTTATGCATGCATTTTGTCCTGCAGCTGGCTGGATTCAGCGATTTGCTTATAACATTATATGGCAATGTGAGTTAACAGTTCTTACACCTATACTTTTCTTAGCAAATGATGTATGTCTTACAAAAATTTAAAATACTTTATGGTAGGTTTTTACGGTACATGATTAATGCTAACTGAAATGCATGGGTGCAGTGTCCCCGAGAGTCCAACGTTTGGAGAGGAAGAAGAAGAACCATACAGAAACTATGCGCCTCATCGAATACTTAGCCAAAGAAGGATACTTCGAGTTCTTTGTGCGTGGAAAAGATCCCACCCAAGTTACAACAATTACTTCAGAAGCGCTTGACGACCAATTTGATAAGCATGGTCCACCGGAGTCTGTAAAAGAAGGTGATGCCCAAAAAAAGGACGCGGAAGCCCCAGCTGCAGTGAAAGAGCTCATTAAGGGGATGACCGATAAGCTCTACAAATTATTGTCGAAGGAATCGGAAACACCGGTCTCAATTGCAATCAAAGAGGCGGCTCAGAGTGTGGAGAAAGTGTTCAAGGCACTGTCACCTAGCTCGGAAGAGAGATGGAACGTGCCACCCTTGATCTTAGGTGCACAAATGGGCCTTCATGATTTCGTCGGAAAGATCCTGGAAGTGTGCCCACAGTCAGCAACCTACCTGGACACGAAGGGCAGAAATGTTCTCCAAGTGGCGATAGAATCTGGGAACCGAGAGACTGTAGAAACTATCCGTAAGATGACCCAGGGAGACAACCCCATTTTACCATCCTGGTTGTTGTCCAGAATCGACTCTAAAACCAGAAACACCATCCTGCATTTTGCTTCTGAGACGATCGGTGATACCGGAGACGATGCAGTCCAAATGCAAGATGAGATCCGATGGTTTGAGGTCACGTACTCCCAGTGTTCGATCATATGTCTCATAAGAGAAATATCTGTCATTGTAAAATTCCATGTGATCATTAATTAATCGTATGCATGCAGATGGTGAAAGAGATGGTGCCTAGGGAGCTCGTGTACAGTCGAAACGCGGACGAGAAGACAGCGCGGGAGATCTTTACCGAGAGTCACAAAGAGATGTTTAAGGACTGCAAGAATCGGCTAATGGAGATGGGCAAGACATGTTCAGGCCTCGTAGCGGCGGTGGTTTTCGCGTCCAGCTTCTCCATCCCGGGCGAGAAGAATTCCAAAACCGGCAACCCTGAGTACTTCAACAGGTTACCCTTTAAGGTGTTCACGCATGCGTACGTGATCGGGTTGTCGTGCGCCGCCACGTCTCTGGTGTTGTTCTTGTCCCTCGTCATCTCGCCTTACAAGGAGCAGCAGTTCCGCCGTGCCATCCCCACCAAGTACTTCTTCGCTTGCTTCTCGTTTGGGTTGGCGCTGACGGCTTTGCTGCTGGCCTTCACATGCAACATCTTCCTACAGATATATGGCGGGCAGAAAACACTCACGAAGGACATCCTTCAACTGGTACTGGAGCTTACCGTCTTCCCCACTGTCTGCTTGGTTGTGCTCCTCTACCGTGGTGCCAATTTTGGTCCGTCTTTTTTCCGTCGTATTTGGTGTTGAGTCAATAAGCGTTAATGTCAGGCATACTTCCTCGGCTTCGTGGTCTGTGCCAGTAGAACTCTTGCGTGTGTTTGTGTGTGGTATTAAATTCTGATAATTCCTGAATTGTACTCGCATTTATTTCGAGACTACTATGAATTGGACGTATTTTGACTTTTTTGATTTGAAATTTGACTATGCTAAACATCTTGTGCTCTCGTTTGCAATCATAAAAAATCATAACATTTGTGCTGCTGTTCATCATCCATCATAAACAAAAAAACAAAAAAAACAAAAGAAACTCAAATGCCAATAATAGAAAAGAAGAAGAAGAACAAACAGAGCAATGGGAAGAGTTCTGTTTTCTTTCTTATGTGTTGCATGCAATTGACAACTGCAGTCCTTGGGTTCTTCTAAATGGGACTGTACTAATCTCAGATCAACCTATTACGAACAAATCTCATCTTGAGCATCATAGAAGAGCAAAAGGTCAAACTAAATGAGTAAATCCCTCGCCAGAAACCTATCTGTCGTGACAACTCTACCTTAAGAAACTAAGTTCTTTGTTATTACTATAATTGAGACGGCAAACGATTCAACGGTTGTTTCGTCATCGACATTTACTATTTTCTTGTTTTCTTTTGGATCGTTTTCATGTCATTGTCAATATTAATGGTAGTGAGAAATGTTTGGTAGCCTTTCTCTTTCCAACCGTGACATTTATCTTCCAATATTCATCATCATGTCATCATTTCCCTTTCGGCGAGTCATCTTATTGTCACTAGACGTGAGACTAAATCATATCTGAATAATAAATTCTTTTGGCTCGCCATTAAAGAAATAGACACCTAAAGACACCCACTCGAGGATAACGTGATTTGGTGCTACAACAATTGCATGTTGCTGTTGACAACGTCGAGAGCAGAAGATTAAACAAAGAGACGGAAAAAAAGATGTTGCCGTAATCCGGGTGGACAACAAGAATCGGAGACTCACCAATGGGTTCTCAACTCCGTAGACTTGCTATGAATATGATCTACAAAAACCAAGGGGGAAGGAAGTGTACGACGATGGATGAGAGCCAAAAGGATCAGCTAGTCTGCTTGTTAAGGCAGGCCTTCAGGTTGCTTTAGTTTCGCAGTGGAAATCAGGAGGCGAAGGCGTACGAACGAGTTGTGCCCACCATTTATGGGGGATCCCTCTCTTGCCCATACGGATTCCATTCAGGACGGCACGGAGGATGCTGATCCACCGCACGAGCTCAACAGGAAACATTTTCTCACGGTGAAGTCTCACATCCGTCAGAAGAAGCACAAGGAACTCTTGGCTCTAGCCGAAGAAGATCCTGGTCGCCCTGTGAACCTCATGAACGACACTTTGCTCCACGTCGTCATAGCTTGCAACAAGGCGGACCTCGCCAAAAGTATTATCTTGCAGATGCCAGTGGAGACCCTCGCGGCCAAGAATTTGTACGGCGACACGGCTCTTCATGTCACTGCCGCCGTGGGTAACAGCGAGGTGGCCAAGGAGCTGTTCGACACAAGAGAAGATCTCATCGGAGAACAGAACCTGAAGCAGGAGACACCACTTCACAAAGCGGCGTTCTACGGGCATCATGACATGTTCTGGTGCCTGGTGGACGAGGGGAAGGGCTCCCCGCACGAGCGGAGGGAGGACGGCGCCACCATGCTGCACTGCGCCATCATGGGCAACGAGCCGGGTTAGCCATCATCACTGGTTTGGTTGGTCTGGCTCAGGCCAGCTGGTTTTATCTTGTTTCTATCTTATTTATTTAAAGTGTTATATGTGGATCATACTGCTTCCGCATCTTTGTTGTGATGAAGGTGAGTAAGTTGACGCAGGGCTAGCACTGGAGATTGCAGAGCGTTTTCCATTGCTGATCACGTCGAGGAATACTATGGCGGTAACCCCGTTGCAGCTGATGGTGACCGTTCCGGGGTTATTCCGAAGCCAAATGGTACTGGGCTGCTTCGAGTCCATCCTCTATGGCTGTAAGTGCTGCCAGCCTCTTCCTTCAACTTCCCCAGCGCCTCCCCCTCCCACACCCCACCCCCACCACCCCCCTTGATTTTTCGGATTTATTATATGGTTTTGTCTGATTTGATCTCTGTTCTTTATTCTTTCACTTGTCTCCTGCTTCTTCCCTCAATTCGCCCTTTTGTCGTCACCCTTTCGTCCCTGTTCTTTCTTCTTCGAGGAGGAGACGAGAAGGAGGAGGAGAGCAAGCGACACAAGGTTGACCAGTTCACTCATCCAAACTGGCTTAGTGAATCATTTCAACAAATTTGAAACGAAATTAATTAGAATAGGAGGATAAAATAGAGGGGCGTGATAGAAATCAATTACTAATTATTTTTTAGGTGAATTACTTTTTGTATATATATATATATATATATATATATATATATATATATATATATATATATATATATATTACAATCCGATCTAAAAAGATAATTGACTTATTAACTTCATTAAACTTGGACCATTGATCTGAATAGTTAAGCTCAAATTAATAATAATACACTCATCAAATCCCTATAAATTAATTTTAGAATTTATCTATTTTTTTATTTTCGATGTGAAGTAAAATTATAATTGTCCTAAGAAAAATATACTTACGATGAAACTTAAACATCAAGCGTTTTGATACCAGCAGTGTACATGCTCCTAAAATTTTGATCTTACATTTCAGTTATTCCTTTGGAGAAGGACTCACACAGGACACGTCAAAGAGATGAAGAGGAGGCAAGTGGAAGCTCCAACGATGCCGGTGTATGTGATTCAAATCATCAACATCTTTTCCATCACAATATCAATAGTCCACTATTGTCTCTCTCATTTGTTTCTCACTTTGGCGTTTACATATATATAATCTCAAGCAAGCTGAAGCCACAGAGCAAGATGACCACGAATATTTCGGGAGGCAGAGAACAATTCGTTCGAGATTTCCATCTTGCTGCTGTACTCTCGTTGACAGATTAGTCATCCCAGGCACTCCTACTAGCTTCTCTGTCTACAATTTTTGTAGTCATCCATGTTCTGTTTCACTACGCTGATGTTTTCCTTTTTGTCCTTGCAGTCAAATGGGTTCATCTGTTTCTTTTCATCATTTTAAAGACTTGTGAGTAATTGTTCCCAAACAGTGCATTGATGATATTTAGAGTCATGTCCTACTGTTTCATTACGAGTTTTAGCAAATTAGGATAGTACTATAGAAAAGGCTTCTTGTAATTTAGTTCTCCAAAACCAAGTAGTTTACATGATGGATAATCATAGCTAATTTTCGGAAAATCATAAATGGGATGATCATGTCGCTGACTTCTTCTGATGTTAATTTGGAAATGCAATGCGTTATGCAGTGTACCCTCGAACCCGACATCTGGAGAAGATTAAGAGAACCCATAGAAAAGCCTTGGAACTCATCGAATTTTTAGCCCGCGACCCGAGAAACATGGAGTTCTACGTGCTGGGAAGAAAACAAGGTGACGGCGGAGCTCCTGCGGCAGGCTTTCGAGAAAGAGGTGAGGGACAAGATCAACTTAACACACCAGCTGCGTCTACCAGAAGATGGAACGAGCCACCCTTGATCTTGGGTGCACAAATGGGCATTCCCGAGTTCGTCAGTACCATCTTACGAGTGTGTCCGGAGGCAGCTACCTACCTGGACACCCGTGGCCGAAGCGTTCTCCAAGTAGCAATAGAGCATGGTAACCGAGAGATTGTGAGAACTATACGTGAGATGATTCGGGGGAAGAATCCCATACTACCATCCTGGCTACTGTCCCGCGTCGACAAAAGGACCGGAAGAACCATCCTGCACTTGGCTTCGGCAACTGCCCCCGAGCATAACCAAGATGCTCTACAAATGCAAGATGAATTAAGATGGTTTGAGGTCAAGTCCCTGACTTCATTAACTACAAATAAATCATTATATTCTCAGAGTTGCCTGCTAAATTTGATCGTTTTCTGACATTTGAATGCAGACGGTGAGAGATATGGTTCCTAAGGAATTAGTGTACAGTCGGAACGCGCAAGAGATGACCGCAGAAGAGATGTTTACTGAGAGTCACCGGGAGATGCTCAAGAGTTGCAAGGGTCAACTAATGGAAACGGGCAGGACGTGTTCAGGGCTTGTCGCTGCTGTAGTGTTCGCGTCGAGCTTCTCCATCCCCGGCGATAAGGACCCAGCGACCGGCAACCCGGTTTACTTCGGTAGGGCAGCTTTTACGGTCTTCTCACATTTTTACGTGATTGGGTTGTCATGCGCCGCCACATCTCTGGTGTTGTTCTTATCCCTCGCCATGTCACCGTACAAGGAGCAGCAGTTCCGTCGTATCATCCCAACCAAATACTTCTTTGCCCGCTCGTCGTTTGCGATGGCGATGCTGTCTTTTCTGGTGGCGTTCACCTGCAACATCTACCTACAGATATATGGCTGGCAGAAGGCGAAGTCGAAGGACTTGATTCCATTCGTATTGGAGCTCACCGTCTTCCCCGTCATCTGTTCCCTGGTGTTGTTCTTTCGTGGCTCCGATTTCGGTCTATCTTTCCTTGTTCGTCTTTGGGGTTGAGTCAACAAGCATGATCGTCCACATCTTTGGAATCTGCAGCTTCATGATGCACGTGGGTTCTACCTATTGCGGGTATGCCACCTGTTCTAGTGGTGTGTGGTGGTGGTAGTCATTGGACAGTTAATAACTTGTGTGTACAAGCAGCGACAAAGGCTTGTGATGTATGGACGCTAGTTGATTGCAACTTTAATGTGTTCTTTTCTTCTATCTTAAATTAGATGATGATATAGGCGCAGCGGTAGACAACAGATCCGATCACCAATAATGGTGATGTCCCTCTCTATTGTTTTTGACGAAGTCAATATGACATAACTGTTGACCGGATCTTACCCTGTATTGTCATGTAAATGTCACATGTCGAGTGACAGATTTCCCCTATCGTATGGACGTCCTTTGGTTTTCCCAGAGGTCGGCTAGAACATAGGCTCGAGTCTTTTTGAATATTCTGTGACAAATCACATAGTCCATATCGTAAAGTTTTGGCCCACCAAAGTTTGCACAGGCAAACGAAATGATTGGCTTATAGAAGCCAATCATTCAATAAGTGAAGGACATCAATTTTGGATTAAAAAAATATCAACAAAATACAAATCACCTTTATAGAAAGGAAAGAAAACTCTCCGTGGAGAGCTTTATTGCACTCCTTCCCATCCATCATCTATGGAGTCAAATAAGAAAGATTCAAGAGAAGATAGGAATGGTCCGAGTGAAGAAGACAAACTAACGAGCAGCAATGCTCGTCTATTCCAAAGACCTGCCACGAGAATAATACAGCGAGAAAAAAAGAAAGAAAAGGAAGAAGCTTATTTATGAGGTGCGAAAGGTGATGGACATCCGATTCACGCCGTTGCAGCTGATGGTTACCATCCTCTTCCGAAGCCAACTTGTGCTCGGCTCCTTTGATTCCTTGCTCGCCCTTTCCCAATTACTTTTTACATAAAATTAATATATTTTATGTAAAAATATATTAAATTTTATAAAATATATTCTAAATTATTCAAAATATATTATTACACTCTCATTCAAAGAACGTGTTAAAAAAAATATTTTTTTTTATAAAATTATCCTAAATTCATCATAAAACTAATCATAAAATTCTACATCTCTTATTTTCTATTTCTTATATTGACTTAGTTATGTTCAAAATTAAAATAAATTAAATTCGATTACCTAACCTATTTTAATATTAATATTTTTTTTACTTTTAGATATATCTAGAATAATTAATTATCAAAACTTTGAGAATTCTACTATAATTTGATTCTAACAAAATTATAATAAATTTATATAAAAATTAATATATCTTAGTAAATTCGAGTGTAACTTGGATGTAAGAGATTTGGCTTAACTTGATTCTACTGGATTCGAAGGGATCCGACCCAAATCGATCTAATTCAGATCGAATCAACCTGCTAATCAGTCAGGTTTAAAATAGTCTATTTCAAAAGTATTATCAAAATTTTTAAAGAAAATCACCTTTTGTATGAGCTTTTATCTTTATACATACAAAGTATCCTATTAAACATGAGGTATTACAAAAAAAAAAAAAAAATCCCTCTCCAAAGACCTCCTGTCATGTCAACTCTAGTAAAATCCCTATTAACTAGAGAAAGAAGTTCTTCGTTTATACTATAGTCGAGACTGCAACCGATTCATTGTTATTTACTCATTTTCTTTTGGTTCGTTTTCATGTCAGTGTCAAGCTATATGATAGGTAAACAAGTGTTTGGTACCCTGTCTCCGTTCCACCATGCGCTGACGTTATCAGATTCCCTTTCGCTGATCTATATATCTTATTGTCAGAAGACGTGAGACTGAAAGTGATATGTTGGAGGAAAGTATTGATTATATTTCTATTTATTATTGGTTGACCGATGGAGATGGTTACTTTACTTGGGATGTCATGTTGAGGTAATTAAATCATGCCAACGCAGATTCGAATAATAAAATTCCTTTAGCTTGTCATTAAGCAAAAGACACCCACTCGAAGATAACGTGATTTGGAGCTACAAATGATAACACTGAGAGCAAAAGATTCAATAAAGAGATGTTGCCATAATCCCGGGTGCATAAAAAGAATCGGAGACCAACCAAAGGGTCATCAACTCCAAAGACTTGCGATGAGTATGATCTACAAAACCTTTTCTATAAGGTGCAAGTTGAATGATCGGTGGAGACCCACAAGTAGAGGTTTGGGTGCAAGCTTCCGGATTATTGTTTCCTGTAGAGCAAGAATCGTTGACCCACAAGTTAAAGCTACTGTCTAGCTTTAACGTATGTGAATTATTCATTAGTAGGTTGGCCTCTGTAACATACGATTAATTTGTTGTCGAATCTTTTGTGACTGAGATGAAAACGGAGACCAACCAATGGGTTCTCAACTCCGAAGACTTGCGATGAGTATGACCTACAAAAACCAAGGGGGAAGGAGGTGTACGACGATGGATGAGAGCCAAAAGGATCAGCTAGTCTGCTTGTTAAGGCAGGCATTCAGGTTGCTTTAGTTTCGCAGTAGAAATCTGGAGGCGAAGGCGTACGCACCATATAGCAACTGCATGCTATGGGGGATCCCGCCGCTCTTGCCAATACGGATTCCATTCACGACGGCACAGAGGATGCTGATCCACTGCATGTTCTCAACAGGAGACATTTTCTCACGGTGAAGTCTCATTTCCGTCGGAAGAGGCACGAGGCACTCTTGGTTCTAGCCGTGGAAGATCCTGGTCGCCCGGTGAACCTCATGAACGACACTTTGCTCCACGTCGTCATAGCTTGCAACAAGACCGACCTCGCCAGAAGTATTATCTTGCAGATGCCAGTGGAGACCCTCGCGGCCAAGAATTTGTACGGCGACACGGCTCTTCATGTCGCTGCCGCCATGGGTAACAGCGAGGTGGCCAGGGAGCTGTTCGGCAGGAACGAAGATCTCATCGAAGAACAGAACTTGAAGCAGGAGACACCACTGCACAAAGCGGCGTTCTACGGGCATCATGACATGTTCTGGTGCCTGGTTAACGAGGGGAATGGCTCCCCGTACGAGCGGAGGGAGGACGGCGCCACCATGCTGCACTGTGCCATCATGGGCAACGAGCCGGGTAAGCGGTCATCACCAGTTTCGTTGGCCAGCTGCCTTTATCTTGTTTTTATCCTATTTATTTGAATTTTTATATGTGGATCATACTGCTTCCGCATCTTTGGCGTGATCAAGGTGAGTGAGTCGATGCAGGGCTGGCACTGGAGATTGCAGAGCGTTTTCCATTGCTGATCACGTCGAGGAATACTATGGCGGTAACCCCATTGCAGCTGATGGTGACCGTTCCGGGGTTATTCCGAAGCCAAATGGTAATTGGCGGCTTCGAGTCCATCCTCCATGACTGTAAGTGCTGCCCCGCCTCTTCCTTCAACGCCCCCAGCGCCCCGCCCTCCCCCCTGCTTCTCTATTTATTGCACTACATTTCCTACCAACGACTACCTTAATTTAGCGATCGTTCGACGTCCAAATCTATTGAGAATTTACCAAGGGGTGTTTTTTTCTCATTATCGGAACACATATACCCTTGCTTATTTGGATTTATTATATGGTTTTGTGTTAAACGCATCAAATCTAATCGGTTGAGTCTGGTTTGCTCTCTGTTCTTTGTTCTTTCACGTCTCCTCCTCCTACCCTCAATTCACCCTTTGTTTGTCACCCTTTCACCCTTATTCTTTCTTCTTCAAGGAGGAGGAGCAGAGGAGGAGGAGGAGAGGAAGCGACACAAGGTTGACTGGTTCATTGAACCGGTTCACTGATCCAAACTGTTTCAGTGAATCATTTCAAAAAGTTCGAAATGTAATTAAATTGGAATAGGAGGATAAAGTTAGAATTTACCAAAAAAACATTCCTAAATAATTTCTGAATATATATATATATATATATATATATATATATAATAATAC